AGGGCCATCAAGTCCCAAAGTGGGGCTGGCCATGTGGTCCTCTCTGTTACTGGCTGTTCTAATTGAGGTCATCGTCCTCAAGGCCAGGATGTTCTCCAGTCTCTCCTCCTCCCCGGTCATCTGCTCCTGTGTGCTCCAATCAGATACATCTCTCTCCCGGAGCTGCGGATTCAGTGCAGTCCTTTGAAATAAATTCTTCTGAGGGGAGGGGCAGGCATTCACTTAGTATTTGGGACTGGGGCCAGCCCCCCAAATCTTTTTTTAAATTTCCATTTAACCCTTTGAGAATTTGACTATAGCATCACTTTGACATATTTTTGATGACTGGCAATTCTCTGTTCGAAGAATATAATTTGAAATGTAAAATATAGCTTGCCCAGTACTCTCAGTAAACTTCTTGAATTTGATTATCTATTTAATATATGATACATGATTTATTTAAAATATAAAATGTCAGGTAAGTACTTCACACTGAATATTGATAATCAAGTTAATAGTGAAGGATAAGAGAAAAATCATTTATTCCTATAACAGTTATTAGCCATGTAGTATGTCCAGATAATGTTCTAGATCCTGGTAAGATACCACAAAACAAAATTGACAGCTGTCTCTACACCTATGTAGCTTACAGTCTACTAGGGAATGATAATAATTGGTAAGAATAAATACTGTATGAGTTATCAGATTGTCAGAAGATTATAAGTTTATGGAAAAATTTAATAAGGTAAAGGAAAACAGGAGTGCTGAGAGAGATCGATTAAATACAATATGTAGTAACTATACATGTGTGATAAGTGCATGTTGTATGATTATTTTCCCCCCTGCATCCCAAAACTCTTTCTTAAGGCCTATTAGTAATGGCTCTGGCATGTAACATGGTGTTCTGCCAGATAGTATGAATATTTTAGGTTAGTCTATCCCAGGATATAGATTTTCTCTACCCACTGTCTACATCCCTAAATATAGGAAAAACCATGATTCTCCTAATCCAAACCTACATTTTAGACAAAGAAATGGTGACCTCATGGCAAAGATATTTGGGCTGCTGGGTCTCTCACCGGCCTGTGATTTCTCAGCCTGTACCCTGTGAGTACATATAGAAACACTTCGTGTTTCCTGACAGCCTCCCAATTGTTAATATAGCTTTGATGACTTTTTTTTGTTTTTTCTTTTTTGTAGTGCCATGGACTTTCTGTGGAAGGTTTTGTACTTCCTTCTTCAACTACTAGGGAGGTAAGATTCTGTCTTTCGAATGTATGTGGCTGATAGCTTATCTCGCTGAGTATTCAGTGATCACTTTACAAGTAACAGACATGATTTTATTAGTCAACCGTACATGAAATGCAGTAGAAGTAAATAGATTAACCATTTTAAAAACAAATGGGGATATTAGAGAATAATCATGTACTGCATCTTCTTGTAATGGTAAAATCAGGCTAGTTTGTGTGACTATTGTTAGTGTTCGAGAGGGCATAAGAAGTTGAAATCTAAAATGGAATACTAATGTCTCACATAAATTTCATGACCACACTTCTCTCCTAAAATGCTTGTACACATAGATGATAGCTCTCACTATATGTCAGAATAAGGAGCCCTGGTGGTAGAGTAGGTTATATGTTGTCCTGATAATCACAATGTCAGCATTTCGATACCACCAGCCACTCCATGAGAGAAAAATGAGGCTTTCTATTCCCATACAGAGTTACAGTCTCAGAAATCCACAAGAACAGTTCTATTCTGTCTCATAGGGTCACTATAAGTCAGAATCAACACTATGGAAATGAGTTTGAAGGTGTGTGTGTGTGTGTGTGTGTGTGTGTGTGTGTGTGTGTGTGTGTGTGTGTGTGTTTAATATGTCAAAATAACATGAGCACCCAGCTCCAACTTATTGAATTAGAATCTCAAGCGAAGGGACTTGAACATCTTTACTTTTTAATAATTTCATAGATGACTCTGATGATATATACATATCATATATATAATGAACCACTGTGGTGAACCATGCCCATAGATTATTAGGTACTTTTATATTTTCATAAAATTAAATAGTTTTATTTGCAGTGTTATATTTTATAAATTTACTGAGAATACTGAATTAGTTCATAGTGAAAAACTGTTTCTATGGGAAATATTAGGATTAGTTTCTGCAAGCCTCTGATCACAACAATTTCCTCAACCAATCAATACATAATCTTGTTTTATATGTGATTCTGTTTAAAGACCAGGGGAAAGATGAGGCTTTCTACTTCCATAGAGAGTTATAATCTCAGAACCGTAACAGAGCAGTTCTATTCTGTTCTGTAGGGTCACTATGAGTTGGAATTGACTCTACGGCAATAAGTTTGATGTTGGTTTTCATTAAATACACCTTATGTATTTTGTTCATGTGGAATCTACAACCAACAGCATTATAACTCACACCTGAAAGAAAAAAAATTATCTGACACATGTATTTTCACCATAAGACACACAACAGCTTTTTTACACTTAAGAACACTGTGTACATTAGAACTATGCTTAAGGGTTATTTTAAAGTGCAAGTCACCAACAAAATTACAAAATAAAGTGAAAAGGGTGGCAACAAATGCAGAACATCACCTGATCAATCTTATCTGGGAATATATGTATTGGGTGACACAAATTTTTCATCACTCTATACCTAGTCAGGAAGGACTGCAAAAGCACTGTGAGAATGGATTTTGGGGTTACGATAAATTTTAATGATGAAGTGAATTTGTCAGTATAGAATTCATTAATAATGATGACTTACTATAGTTTGCTTTTTACCCAAATCATATAGGAATGATAAAGAAATTGCTTCAATTAAAAATCAACAAAGAAACATATACTCATATAATAGCTAGTTGGGAGTAGTAATATTGTACAGTAGAAAAATGTTGAAAACACTAGTGTTTTCATTTTTTTGTTTCTAAGAAAAAGGGGATAGAGAAAGTTAATGCTATGCTTCAGGGCTTTACTCTTGCCTTCTCTAATAAAAAAAACACTGTGTCACTTATTTGTTTTTTCCTTGCTTTCAAGCAAGATTGAAATGTTGGTCAGATTAATGAAAATATATCTGGTTTGCACCTTTAAGAGTCTTAAAAGCATTTTCACATTACTTAATTTGATCTTCAACAGATAGGACTATAATTCCCAATTATGATTAAGGAAACAATTGTAGAGAGATTAAGTAAATTGGCCAACATCAGGTAGCCTAGTTAGTGGCAAAGACAGGATTTAACCCAGGTTTTCAATCTCTAAATATACATTGTCTTGCTACAGTATATAAGCAATACAATTTTACCAAAAAATCACTCCTCAATCCTCTTAGGCCTCAAACAACATTGTTTCTCTATGCCGATTTTTAATCTAACAGTATGTGCTCACATAATTCTAATAGTCAAGCATATGCAAGTTTAATTTCTACTTAAATTTTTCCTTTACCCACTCACTATATTTATTACTTTAAATAACTCCATAAACAGTCATGAAGTTTCCTTTTACTTTCCTCTGGTTCAACTGTCATGTTCACCTTCATTCAGGTTTCAGTATTGTCCTTGATTAAGCCCCACCAGGCATCCTACACACTTCTCACCATTGACTTTACATCACTTGTTCTTCCCTTGTTCCTGTGTTTGTTAACACCCACTTCCTTTCCCCCACATCCCCCTCTCCTGTGGCGCCCAGAACCATCAGTCCCATTGTTTTCTCATCCTGATTGTTTATCCTGCCTATCTTATCTAGACAGACATGCAGCGACAATAATAAGCACAAAAACAAGACAAAGCAAAGAAAATAGAGGAAAGAACCAGGAGGCAAAGGACATTTATAGAGGGTTAAATACAAGCATGTACATATGTAAATGTATTTATGTATAATGATAGGGAAATAGATATATATACATATTTAAGTATTAAGGTAGTAGACGGAAATTGGGCGTCTACTCAAGTACTCCCTTGATGCAAGAACACTTTGTTCTAATAACCCGGAATTCTGTGATACTCACATTCCGGACAAGATCGCTGAAGACAAAATGGGTGCATAAGCAAATGTATTGAAGGAAGACGATGGTGCCTGGCTATCAAAAGATATAGTGTCTGGGTCTTAAAGGCTTAAAGATAAACAAGCGGCCATCTAGCTGAGAAACACACCAGCCTGTGTGATCATGAGGTGCCAATGGGATCAGGTATCAGGTATCAAAGACCCAGAACAAAAAATCATATCAATGTGAATGAGGGGGAGCATGCAGTGGAGACCCGAAGCCTATCTGTAGACAATTGGACAATTGGTCGCAAGAAAGAGGCGAGCCAGTCAGGGTGCAGTATAGCACTGATGAAACATACAAATTTCCTCTAGTTCTTTAATGATTCCTCCCCGCAACTATCATGACCTCAATTCTACCTTACAAATCTGGCTAGACCAGAGCATGTACACTGCTACACATAAGAGCTGGAAACACAGGGAATCCAGGACAGATAAAGCCCTGAGGACTAATAATGAGAGTAGCATACCAGGAGGGTAAGTGGAAGGTGGGAGGAGAAAGGGGGGACTGATCACAATGATCTACATATAACCCCTTCCCAAAGGGGCCGACAACAGTAAAGTGGGTAAAGGGAGACAGCGGTCAATGTAAAACATGAAAAATATTATAAATTATGAAGAGTTCATGAGGGAGGGAGGGTGGGGAGGGGCAGAAATGAGTAGCTGATATCAAGGGCTCAAGTAGAAAGAAAATGTTTTGAAAATGATGATGGCAATATATGTACAAATGTGCTTGACACATGTATGTATGTATGGATTGTAATAAGAGCTGTAAGAACCCCAATAAAATGATTTTTTTTAAATAGCCATGAAGTTGCTATACAATAGGAAACTTACTCAAGTATCCCCACGTTTAGGTTACTTCTAGTTTTTCACTAATGCGTTGTTGCTTTTTAACACTTTTACATGAAGGCTTCTATATGTAGAACTTTTCCCCTCATTTGAATAATTTCCTTAGGATGCATTCCAGAAAGGGGATTATGACTTAGAAAGCATTGACACAGTGGTTACAGATTGGGCTTCTATCTGAAAGGTCAGCAGTTCAAAACCACCAGCCGCTCTATGACAGAAAAACAGGGCTTTCTACTCCCATAAACAGTTACAGTCTTGGAAAGCCACAGAGGTAATTCTACCCTATCCATTAGGATCACTATAAGTCAGTATCAACTCAATAGCAGTGAGTTTTTTGGAGTTACACACTACCAGATCCAAAAACATTACTATCCAAAAAGATAGAACCAATTTATCCATTCAGTTACTCTTTTTCAGATTTTTATTTCATTTTATTTTTTCCAAACCATTTTATTAGGAGTTAATCCAGACATTGTATCACTCCATAGTTCAACCTCATCAAGCAGTACGAGTTATACAATTGCTACTACAATCAATTTGAAAACATTTTCTTCCTTCTTGAACTCCTTGATAAGCTCCTTTCCCAGCCTCCTCCACTATACCCCCTTATTCTAATTGTTTACTCTACAGGTTTCACATACTGAAAAACAGATAAACACATAACAACAATTCAAGAAGGCTACCATCCATGACAAAATACGCCAGAGACATTCAGTTACTTTTAAGGGAGTTGAAGCTTTGCTCTTAGCAACACTACTTTTATTGCCTTTCAGAAGACAAGGTGATTGATGCCTCCTGGATGATGGGTTCCTTTTGTTGTGAGCTCTAACACATAAGCACAAAACACTTCCCAGTGCAACTCTGTCACCACAGCCATTGTTGTGTTTGATCTCATTGTTGCAGTCACTGTATCAATCCATCTCTTTTGCTTACCCTCTACTTGTCAAGCATGATGTCCTTTTCCAAGGACTGGTCTTTCCTGCTAGCATATCTAAAATACTTGTGACAAAGTGTCACCATTCTTGCTTCTAACAAGCATTCTGGCTGAACTTGTTCCAAGACAAATTGATTCATCATTCTCCCGACATTCCAGAGTACATTCAATATACTTCATCAACAACGTAATTCAAATACATCAATTCTTCAAGTTTCATCCATTTTCCAGCTTTCACATACATATGAGGTGATTGAAAATACTGTGATAATAATTTCTTTTGTAAGAATCAATACCAGAACAGTTCCAAGTAGTTGAAGATGGAAGATATCCCAAATGTTCAATTTATCCAAGACGCACTCTGCTCCATTCCAACCCCTACCTCCTCCTTTCTTGAATATATTCCCTCAAGTACCTGGGTTCTTCAATTTACCCCACTGTCCCAGAGAAACTCATGAAACTTTAAGGAAATGGCTCTGATGATGGTGGTTGCTTTTCAGTCAAAATCCGAGAGCCAGGGAGTTGTTGTTAGATGCCATTAAGCCAGTTCTGACCCATAGCAGCCCCTTGCACATTAGAGCCACACACTGACCAGTCCTGTGCCATCCTTACAATTATTTTTGTACTTGATCCATTGTTGCAGCCACTGTGACAATGCATCTTGTCCAACTCCTTCCTCTTTTTGACTGCCCCTTACTTTACCAAGCATGATATCATTCTCCAGGGACTGGTCTCTCCTGACAACATGTTTGTTTGTCCTTTTGACAGTTCATGGTACTTTCAATAGTCCTCTCCAACACCATAATTCAAATACATCGATTCTTCTTGGTCTTCTTTATTTAATGTTCAACTTTCATACACATATGAGGCAATTGAAAATACCATGGCTTGGTTCAAGACCTTGATTTTCAACACTTTAAAGATGTCATGAGCAGCAGATTTATCCAATGCAATGTGTCCTTTGATATCTGACTACAGTTTCCATGAGCACTGATTGTGGATACAAGCAAGACAAATTCCTTGACTACTTCAATCTTCAGCACTATTGGTTCTTGCTCATATGCTACCTCCTGAAATGGTGGAATGTCAACTAGTTCTTCTTGTTACAGTGACTTTGTGAATTTTTCCATCTTCTTTTGATGCTGCCTGAATCATTTAATATTTGACCCATACAATGAAGCTTGAATTTTTGTCTTGCGTCCTTTTCTTCCTTTTTGGTTTTCTAACTCTAGGTCTTTGTACATTCCACTACAATATTTTACTTTGTCTTTTTGAGCTGCCCTTTGAAAATTTCTATTCAGCTCTTTGACTGCATTATTTCTTCCATTTATTTGAGCTATTCTATGAAAAGTTGCTGAAAGAGAAACTTTCAGTCTTTTGTGACATCCACCTGGAGAAGTTCATGTGTATCATCACCTTTTATGTTGTAGGAAAAGGGTATTTTCTTTAAACCAGGTATCGGTCTTGCAATATTTTATCACACGATCTCCAGCTTTGTTTCTATCACTAAAGCCATATTTTCCAACTATTCTTACTTCCTCTTTGTTTCCAGCTTTTCATTCTAATCACCAATAATATTAATGCATCTTTACGCATGTTTGATCAATTTATAACTGAAGATATTAGTAGAATTCTTCACTTTCTTCATCATTAGCTTTAGCAATTGGACTATAAATTTGAATTCTAGTTGGATTGATTGGATTTCTTTGACTGTAGGTAGATGTAATCCTATCACAGAATGCATTGTGATTTAAGATAAATCTTGAAATGTTCTTCTTGAAGAATCTTGACAATGACTGTAAAGCCATTCCTCTTGATTGTGTCATTACCAGCATAGTAAGCTACATGGTTTTCTGATTAGAATGGCCAATATTAGTCCATTTAAACTCCTTAATGCCTAGGATACCGATCTTTAGTTGTTCTATTTCAGTTTTGTTGACTTTGAGATTTCCTAGATTCATACTTCATATATTCCAAGTTCTAATTATTGGTAGATTTTTGCAGCGGTTTCTTCTCATTTTGGGTCATGCTCCATCAGCAAATAAAGGTACCAAAGGCTATTACTCCACAGGCTTTACTCCATTCATGTCATTATGGCCGACTCAATTTTGAGAAGGCAGTACTTCCTCAGTGATATTCCTCTATCAAAATCTGACAGAGCATCAAATGTAAGGTCCAGAGCCCAAAGTCCCAAATATCCAAAGCTCACAGCAGGTCTTCTGGCTTCTATTTAAGCTCAATCAGGAAAATAAAGATCTGGCTTTCCAAGTGAGGTGATGTAAATAGAACTATATGGTGGCACCATTGTTTATCCAAGGAAAACAATGGGTGTGGGCTGGTTCACAACTGATACTTAGGTGGGGTCTAAAGCATATCATCAAGAAAAAAAAGAGTTTGGCCTGGATCACACCCAGTATTAAATTGCTTTTAATATGCCTTCAAGGAAGCAACAGATGTGGCTCTGGCCACATCCTCCACCAAAGTCAGGTCTGAATCCCACCCAGCTCCTGTCCACCAGTATATAGAGAATGCCTTCTGAAATGGGACCACAGTCAGAGGCATATAACTCCAGAGCCATAATATATATCATATAAGGAACCATTGCTAAAAGGGCCACATACATTTACCATAACTTAAATACCATAACTTTCATCAGGATCACCTTAGCCCTCAAAGTGACACTTTAATTTTAACAGTTTAATTGACATATAATTCATGTTTCATATCATTCAATGATTTAATCATATTTAAAAGAGTTGTGTAATAATCACACTATCAATTTTAGAATGTTTTCTTCTTTCTTGTACTCATTATTATTTTTTAAAAATAAATCATTTTATAACAATCAATTGTATCAAGCCCATTTGTACATATGTTGCCATAATCATTTTGAAAACATGTACTTTCTACCTGAGCCCCTGGTATTAGCTTCTCTTTTTTCCCTCCTCCCCACCTCCCACCCTTGTGACCTCTTGATAAATTATAAATTATGATTATTTTCTTATCTTACACTGTCCATTGTCCCCCTTCACCTATGTTTCTGGTATTCGTCCCTCTCGGGGAGGGGGGGTTACACATCAATAATTGTGAACAGTTCCCCCTTTCTCCCCCTTCTCCTCCCACCTTCCCCCTACCTCATGGTATCACTACTTCCATTATTGTTCCTAAGGGGTTTATCTGACCTGGATTCCATGTGTCGAGAGCTTCTATCTGTACCAGTGTTCTCGTACTCATTATTATTAACTATTCCCCCCACCCCACCCCAAACTCCCCTACCTTAACCCTAAAAAAACTATTCATCCATACTGTCTTTATAGATTTACCTATCCTGGATTTCATATAGAGAAAAACATACCACAAAATAAAACCCAAAAAAAAGCTAACCAAATAAAACAGAGAAAACCCTCACTCAAACAAAATAATAAATACTAAAATTTATAATGGGTCAAAAGGAAGAACAAATAATAAGGTATTACATTTTAACCTAACTACATCTGTATTAACCTACTTTCCAAGACACTCTGAGTGATAGTAAGGCTATTCACATTCCCAGTCATTGGTCAGTGGGGATTCATTGGAGGCCTGATCCATGTGGAAACCCAGCAAATGGATTTTGGGCTTTCACTGTCATCCATAACCTTCTGCAAACTGGGTGTTCAGAATTTAAGCTCCAATATAGTTCTCTTCACTGGTCTTGGATTTAATTATTTTCAATCCTTGGATTACACAGGCCGGTGTGCTTATTCCATGTGGACTTAGCTGATATCTCACTTAGATGGCTGCTTGTTCTAAAATCAGCCTTTAAGACCCCAGACACGTTTTCTTTTTCTGATAGCTGGGAATCATCTGATTTCTTTACCCCACTTTGTTGTAGCACCCATATCTTTAGTGATCTCTTCTTGAGGACAAGTATAGAGTAGAGCCACATCAAAGTGAGACTTTAAAGTGGTCTTAGGCAGCATCTTTGCTCTATGCATTATGTTGTTTGATATCTTGACTTATACTTCCATGACAATTGATTATGTATCCAAGTAAAATGAAATCCTTGACAACTTCCTAAGATGGATTCATAGAAAGTGATTTTTTCTTTTCAAAAAATAGTTTTATTGACATATACTTCACATATCATGTAATTTTTATCCTTTGGCCATATTCTGTATAGTTGTGAAATCATTACAATCCATTTCCAGAACATTTTCTTCTATCTCATACTCATTGTTATTAGCTCTCCATTTCCTCCAACCTCTCCTATCATCACACAGGTAATTCTTAATCCAGTCACTGTATCTCTAACTTTACCTATTCTGGATTTCATATACAGAAAATCAAACAAACTACAAACAGTAAGCTAACTAAAAAAAAAAACCCAACAACAATGACTAGACAAAACAGAAAAACCTCAATTGAAAAGAAAGCAGAAACTTCTAAAAATTGGAACAAGTTCAAAAGGAAAATCAAATGATAAGATGCTACATTTTAACCTAACTACGTCTGCCAAAATCAACTTTACAATACTTTCTATCCAATTACAAAGTTATTTACATCCCTGGAGTATGGCCAAAGAAGATTCACTGGAGGCTTAATCCAGGTGGAAACACTACAAATGGATTCTGGGCTTCCACGATCATCCACAGACTTCTGCAAACCTGCTGTTCACAATTTAAGCTCTGATACCATTCCCTTCACCAGTTTTGGGTTTTAGTATTTACAATCCTTAGATTGTCCTTACAATCCTAAACACACCTTAGGCTGGTGTGCATCTTTCATGTGGACTTAATTAATGCCTCACTTAGATGGCTGCTTGTTTTGAGACAAGCCTTTAAGACCCCAGATGCTATTCTTTCTGATAACTGGGCACCATCTGGTTTCTTCAGCACACTTTACTATACAGCAGAAAATGATTTTCTTTTTCTTTATCATAGATGACTCCAGGAGAGATTAAGTTCTCTGTTCAAGTGGAATCTGTCCTGAATCGTGTACCTCAGCCTGAGTACCGTCAGCTGTTAGTTGAAGCCATCATTGTCCTTACCATGCTGGCAGATATTGAAAGTCATAGCATTGGAAACATCATTGCTGTCGAAAAAATAGTACACATTGCCAATGACTTGTTCCTTCAAGAACAGGTATGTAAACCTGGTGTTTTCTAGCAGGAAAATGTTTGACACTAATCTGACTACAATCAAAGTTCTGCCATGAAGCCCAGGACTCTTTATTGTACCCTTTTCCTCATGGCGCTTCTGGACTCCTTATATAGTGAACTTGAGCTATGTGTACAAAAGGCGTAAACTGCAAGAGGAACTCATTATCTTTCACCATGTGTTTTGTAGTTAGTTAGTCATAATACCTGGCACTCAGGAGATGTTTATGCTTTTCATCATATTTCAAATTTCTTATCACACTACTTTTGTAGCTATAGGGATTCGATATGAGATTATAAGTAACATGTTTTCTGGAATATTAAGGGCAAAAAATATCTTTTAGGTTTTTGTTTTGGTTTTGCTACTTATAGGAAAACATAAAAATTGAATTAAAAATTAATTCTTTATTTTTATTAATAAATATTCCAGAAAACAAACAATTAAATGAAATAATATATTTTTGAAATTGGTTTAGTGTTTCTTAGATTTAAAGTAGATGCACATAAGATAATGGGAAAACCTCCAATATATGGAATAGGTGTTTTGTTCTATTAGTCATCGTGAAAGGAGGCAAAAGAAATGAAAAGTATCCACATTTTTTAGGAAAGTACTAATTTTAAATATTCTAGATTGCTGCAAGTCCAGGCATCAGAAAATGTGGTAACTTTAGGCATAGACTCTAGCCTTGGGAAGTTTATGTTCTATTTTAATTAAAGGAATAGTGATCAAATATAAGATAAAATTATGAAATCAGCAGTATTAGATTCAGAATAAAATCACTAGAGTGATTTGTAGGTGTTAACATATGACCCTTAACGTGTAGGAATCATTTAGTTAACTATTACATTTAACTTTCACAATTCATTGTTATAGAGAAAAATACTAAGCAATTAATAATTCAAAACTAAGTTGTATATAATTTGGGGATCTAGTGAAAAATACCCTTATGGAAACTCATACTCACCCTTTTGTGTCTAATTCTTATTCCTACCTGGCAAAGCAGCCTATCCACCTAATTGTTAATGGTACAGAAGCTCTTTACTATCCCAATCTGAATAATTAATATTACTAGTAACTTTTATTTTCCTCTATCTTCTCTCACCCTTAAATCCAAACAGAAAACTCTTGGTGCAGATGATATCATGCTGGAAAAGGATCCTGCATCTGGCATCTGTACTCTTCTGTATGACAGTGCACCCAGTGGCAGATTTGGCACCATGACCTACCTTTCCAAAGCAGCTGCCACCTATGTGCAAGAGTTTCTGCCACACAGCATTTGTGCAATGCAATGAGTGATTTAGGTCTTGCCTGCTGGGAGCCTTTTGGCTGTCGTTCGCTGTTTCGGTTGATTATGCATGGAAATGAAATGTTATTGCCTTATCACTTCCTACCTTTTTCTAACCCATCCCTCCTTAGAAAATAAAAGTAGTCCAATAAACTAACATCTTTTGAAGAAATGAACCTTTATCTGGAGACTCAATTTTTGTGTGTATATGTTCAACCAGACATTTCATTGTTGGCCTTTATTCTTTCGTGGCTCATAGAAATGTGTGTGTACTTTTATTTCCTAGATATTTTATCAACTTAGTTTTCTAAGTCCTGTATGGGAAGCAGGTATTATTAATAACTGATCCCTAAATTTTGGATTTTCTTTTTTTTTAAAAATTATTATTCATTGGGAGTTAATACTTATATCATATCATTCCATAGTTCAATCACATCATGCAGACTTGTACAATTGCTACCACAATCAGTCTCCAAACATTATTTTCTTTCCTGAATTCCTTGACATTGTCTCCCTTTTTCACACACACCCCCACCACTGTACCACCCCCCGACACCCCCACCCCACA